TCCTAACCTTCGAAGAGGAAGGGGTTTGGACCAAGATACATGCAGGTCGCCCACACCTGACAGGAGAACGACTCGGGTTCTCAACCAAAGCCTTCGATTAAATGTACACCCTAAAAAGAGCGGGCCTAGCACATGGTCAGTTCACTGACTCATGCGGATTGGTGTCCTGGATCTTAGCAACTAGCTAGGCCTAATACAACTACCACCAAACGGTCGCTACGAGGGGGCCTCCAGGACATGAGTCCGTGGAAAAACAGTAGCAGCAGTGGTTAGGTCGTCTGTCAGATTCTAGCCACCGTAAGCCTCAGCGCACCATAGTCCCTTCTACTATATATATTTATATATATCCGTAAAGTATACTTTCTGACCTCGTGAACTTATCTCGAATTCGTTGGTAAACAACTTATTTCATATGCTCATTTAAGATTTATGTCACCGTTTCCTTATGCATTACCCGATTTATTTCCTTTGTATCTTTCTCTCAAGTGATTGGCTGTTGCTTGATATCCCCGGTGTGGCTGCGCTTGATGTGCATGCTGACAAGGTGTCTTCCTGTCTATTACCCACTACATCGTCCATACTGACTCTAGGAGACAGCTGGTCGTTGCTGGAGGGGACGGGGTGCACGGTCCTTGCGGCCGTGTTAGGAACAAAGAGTGGTTTCATGCACTCAGTGTGGAGCGGACTACGGTCCAGCCACCGTTTTGTGTGTGCTTGATTCCCAAATACAGTGTGCTTGTGTTTGACTGTGAAGGAGTGTGGGCCGGCTCAGCTGATGAAATGTGGCTCCCATCCACATGCCTCCCGGTCTTATTCCTTTTGGTTTACACTGGATATGACGTGTGTGTTTGTAGCTGGGGGTGGTGAAGCGCAAGCCACCCATGGTCCCTCTGTAGGTGCAGGATGCCGCCAACCATATATATACATACATATATATATATATAGCAGAACTAGAAAATAGATGTCTGTACGCAACAAAGCCTGGCGAGAGTATAGCTCGTCACCAACACCAGATAGCTTAGACAAATACAGAGCCTAGGGTAACCACGGCATTTAACTGCTCAGAGATGACAAAACTGATCCGTTGTTGTGTTATCCACAAAGCTGTAACAGCATTGCTCCCGATTAACACGTCTTTCCTCGACAGCAATCGTGCACAACAAATTTATTGATCTCACGGGGTGGTTTGACCGAATCAGGTGACTCTGGACCAAAACTTCATGTGATCTAGCTGGATTTGTCGAAGGCATTCGAGCGTTTAGATCACCGGATTCTTCTTTCCAAGCTCAAAAATTACGGAATCAGTGAAGCTCTCTTGAGCCGGATCGCCACCTTTCCTGCAACGACAATTAATGATCGGAGTTCGGAACTACATATCTGACTCCACCCAAGTCGGATCTGGTGTTCTTCAGGGCTCAGTATTAGTACCACGATTGCTTTTATAAAAAAGTAGTATATTCCTCGGTGATTCGAGATGCAGTCCAACTATGTTGTCTGACCAATGTGTATAACAGGATCGCAAAAAACAATCAATTTCTGTTGTTGTGGAGTTCGCCGAGCTGGGCAACTTGGTTGAAAACATTTCGCCATCATTCGAGGTGGCATCTTCAGTGCGGGATTGATAGCAGTTAAGTAGCAGTAGCTGGCAGGAAGCAAACCCATTAGTGGGTTTGCTTTGATGGCGAAACTTTTCCAACCAAGTTGCCCAGCTCGGCGAACTCCACAACAACTGAGCAAGCCTCCCGAGCTACCAATATTTCAAATCATTTCGAATAATCAATTTGTTCACGCTTTTTACAATGGATCCAAAACAGGTACTAAAGTAATTGGCAGGATTAAGGCATTAAAGAAATTAAAAACCAGGAACAATAACGTATGCAGATTTAAACAGATGTCCAGTTAAAGTAATACGGCCACTCGTGGAACCATCCCCAGGGGACCTGCTTCTATGCAAGGTATTCCCTCGAAAGGTTTCGCCCGCACTTCTATGCAATAACTGGACGTGTGCAGGTGTGGCATAGTAGCATATGAGCCATCAACTGTTTATCATATGTTATGTTCATTTTAGAGCTGCTTTTGTACATGTATTATGGGCCATGAAGCCTCAGCCCAGTCCGTCTTGCGGATCCTTCTATTATGGCACTTTTTATACGCCAGTCAGTTGGTGGTAATTTGCCTTGCATAGGTAACGTCTTTTATAATCTGGAAGCTATAATCCGTCACCACAGGAGATCAGCCCAGTCGTGGCCAACTATGAAATAAGGAAGAATGTAGAAAAGAAGAATTATGTGAAAACTGTATCGTTACTGTGAAAAATAGACAGGTATGTTTATTACGTCGGCGTAGAAATGGATCGGGCCGATCATACGATCAAATTGTGTGGCGTGACAGCCGGAGACAAATAACTGTACGAGTTATCTATAGGCAAAAGTCGCATAGGGAATCCTTTATTGCCATCACTGAATTCAAGTACATGTTTCTGGACTGTTAACTCCAGGAAAGAAGGGGAAATGATTAGCACTGCAGAACAAATGTAGCTAAGGGGATCGCAGAACAATATTACGAATTAATCAATTTGTGGGGAAAATTATGAAAATAGTTCCTGGCGCCACACCAGCAAAACATTTTGCTCTCGGTCTTAAACAGAAGACAGTTGGTATGAATTAAGTATGAAAGGAGTAAAACTGCATATGAGGTAGAATTAAAGAATAGCATAAGAAGCGGTTTGTATCAGCTCATCCTAGATGATCATACTTTCTCTGGTGCGTTAGAGTCGATGTTCTCCGGTATCATACATGATCCGGCCCTTCTTCATACAGCTTTTCATCATCAAGTTGAATTTTTAAGATCCATTTCACTCTGTCCGTTGACAGATAAACCTTTATCATTTTCTTGAACATGCAAAAATGTTTAACACATCTAATCTCTTTTGGCAGCTTATTCCATATGGAGCCATACCTAAGAAGATAGAAATTTCTTCTTAGGCTTCTTTTGAATTTAGGTAAAGAGAATATGCATTCACTATCTCGCAGTTCATAAATGGTGTTTTCCCGAAAGTGCTATTGATAGGTTCCAGCATATGCTTTCCGTCACGCGAGTTTGTGGAGGAAGCACAGATTTAATTGCATTCTTCGTAACCACAGAGGTTCAAGATTCAACTGCTTGCACCTATCTCTGTATGAAAGAGCGGTTGAACAGCCAAATATGCGCTTCGTAAAGGCGCGTTGGACGTTTTCAATGGCTCTCAAGTCTTGCTTTCGCAAGTTACTGAAAGTAACACAGCAATATTCAAGCAAAGGCCAGACACTGATTTTGAAAGCAATTAGTCTGGTTTCTTTCAAGGTTAGCAGGTGGCAAATGAGCACGACCGATTACTTAGCCTTTTTCACGATATGATTTGTATGTTCGCTAAAGTTTAACGAACTAGAATATCTTAAACCTAAGTCACGAACAGACTGGCTGATGGGAATGACTTCGTCATGAAGCCTGAACAGTTCTGCTGCTATCTAACATCCATACGCTAGAATACTACTCTTCTATGTTGCAAATATCATCTGCCACATATCAGCCCGTCGCTCAATGGCTTACAAGTCGCTTTGGATATTGTTAAGTTCAGCGGTACGCTGAAAACCTAGGAACGTGTAAACCATCTTTAAATCATCAGCAGAAAATAAAGCTTCCCAAGTTGTATAACAGAAACGAGGTCATTTATATATGGTAGGAAGAGTAACGGACCTAAGATACTGTGCTGTACCACTCCACTGGTGACCAGACAAGTTGAAGAGATGTAAGCATGGATATCTACAAGTTGCGACCGTCCTACTAGGTACGATTGGATCCAAGAGTTAAGCGGATTTGTAACACCGTACTTACTTAATTTATATAGCAGTTTTTTGTGTGGGACTCTGTCAAAAGCCTTTTGCATGTCCAGGAAGATGACGATGCACTGAAGACTTGAGTCAATTGCTTCAGTTAGATGGTTAAGGAAGTCAACTTGACAGGTAACACACGAGCGGGACTTCAGAAAGCCATGCTGTGAAGGTGAGAGAAGTTTGTGCGATATTAGGAACGAAATCAAATGTTCCTTAACAATTCTCCTAGCATGCGTGAGAGAATGGCTGTGTGACTAATGGGGCCGTAATTCCGGATGTCCGTTTTCGACCCGGACTTTTGTCGCGGTATAACCGTAGCCGTTTTCCAACGTTCGGGATATTGACCAGACTGTAGAGACAAAGAGAAGACATTTAATAATATAACAGGGATATCATCTCCACCGTGTTTGACTAAAGCAGAAGAGATCCCATCGGGGCCAGGTCTGTAGGATGGTCGTAGACAGGTAATCATATGTTTTATCGTAGCGACACTAAGCTCGATTGCTGGGACTTGTTCAGAGAAGTGAAACGAGGTTGACAATTCCTGGGTTTCTTTTTCAACATTAAAGGATCTAGCAAAGTATGAGTTAAAGGCTTCCGCCATGGCAATTGGGGAATCAATGCATTCGCCTTCAGGCATGACGATGTGGGAGAGTAGGTTAGTTTTGCCACCTCTTCTTTTTCTCAGTAACGCAGACACCAGTTGACTTTTATTACTACTATTTACAGCCCGCTGTTCTTCCTGCATGAGACGGGTGTGGTGTTTCATGTCCGTCTCTATTATAAGGCGTTGGAGTCTCAGTACTACACTGAAGTCGTGAGTACGTTTATATGTTTGAGTTATCACTCGTATTGGAAACACTCGGAAAGCAAGGCAACTGCATTACACACGATAAGTTCATTCTTTTGATAGTAGCACTACTAACTGCATATCTTCATTAACAGTTTTCGATAACCCACCAGAGTGAGCAACAGGGCTTGCAAACCAGTGCTTCCTAACCCAAATGAAGTCAATTTTCATTTCCATGTACTTCGCACGGACATTAAGCCAGTAAGGCTGCCTCATTAAGGCCAAAGTTATGGATGCTGGACTGTGGCTGAAAACTCTCCGCCCCGTTTTTTCCACAGGCTCCTCATCTGCTACTATACGCTTGAACCAGCGTTTATTTTCGGATGATCTTGGAGCCACAGGATGTAAAATTTGTGCAGCTATCGAGTTGGCAGACCGGGTTGGTGTTAGTTGCCTGCAGTTGTACTTCTTGACACAACCACGGACTGGGAAGTGTGAAGGACATGTGCACGGAAGCGTTGTTTGCGCCAATTGCACGTCGTTCACCACTGATTTCGGTCCACTGGAATACGTATTTTACTGTAAGTCGTACTGTTACCTGTCATCCGCAACTTTTTACAGTTCACCTGTAGTTGTGGCCTCATTGTCTATCACCAATTCCTCCTCTGTTCATCTCTTTTCTTTCAAGTGAACGTTCGGCCTAAAATAATAGTTGGAGTCAGCTATGAGTCCAGCCTGTGCATGCAGCTACCGTGGACAGAGAATGCAACTGAATTGTACGTGGAAGTATGGGACGCATACGGCAACATCGCCGCAAAATTTATTATGTTGGTTCAAGTGAGTGATGCGAAAACGTTTTGTCCTCATGCAGGTGTGATTTCCACGGAGTGACATTCCAGGGCAGTGAGTGACCGTATCTGGTGATTTTATTTGCATCGTCACAAATGTTGTTGCACGTCTTCAACTTTAGCTCTCATCTATTAGTTCTACACGAGCCTCTGCGATAAGCGTAACATTGTCTGCACGCAATAGACCTGATGATAGACATGTTGACGAAATATCTGAGAGATATAGACACGAAATAAAGGCCAGAAGACCAGTTCATTTTCATTGGTTGCTCACCAGGCGAATACACTACAATTGAATGAGATGAAGCGAACATCTGGTGAAAGTACATATGCATACACCTAGTGGTCCGCGTGGTCAAGCCAAACGATCAAAGGTGGGTATGGAGGGCGTGGATGACTGAGTGCCTGGACAAATATCTTATGCACACTAATCAGGATCATGAAGCAGGATGGCGATCGCTTCGATCGCCGCCAGTAGACGATATCTAACAAATCGGCTGTGACATCTGCGTATGCAATAGTTGGGCTGGAGAGCTGCATGTGCTTTGACCTGGTGATTCGAATCTGCAGACTGTGCAGATGCTACGCTTGCCAGAGGAGTGACAAATTGTGGTACATTGGCCTGATGAGGAACAACTGAAAACGGAATTATTCGCCAGCTTTTATTCCTTAGCTTATTGGCTGCCTTCTATCGTTATATATAATCTGTAATGCGAATGCATAAGGATGCGCACAAAGATAACCTCAGTTCTGGTATAGATAGTCCGAGTGATTTTTCTCTAACGCTTTTCTGGCGCAGAGGTGTGACAGACCCCAGGGTGACACTTCATTTCATACACCACAAAACTTAGCACAATGTTGGCATCGGTCATAATGAAGGCGATTCGTAGAGCAAAATGTGACATTTCTCCAAAAAGTAATAGGTACAGAAGGTCAAGCTTTCATGCGCTTCACTCTCCGGAGTGGATGTTTTGCGTAGCACATGCAGTGCACTGGAGCAATCATGTGATTGCCAAACTATCTCCGTTCTTACATAACAAAATACACGTGGACTCATTGCTACTAAGATATTTTAATTCGCAATTGATCTATGCAGTCAGACCTCGTAGCCACTTCACAATGCTAATAAGAATACAGTAAAAGTGATTTCAACGATCATCCATTTCATCAGGTCTTCTCATCAAAGCATTTTAAAATTCCCATGGGGCACAACTGCCATGGTTACCAGCCTCAGCAATATAGCTGTTGGGAAGTCCCGGCTTTTGGGTAGAGTCGATCTCAGACTAAGGTTTCACTCCATTTGTAATATCCCGACTCCGTGCTTTAGCTGTGAAAGCTCTGTACACACATTAGGTAGTCAGTTCTAGTAAGTTTACGCTGATAATTGATGAGAACGCATACAATGCATTTAGTCCACCCGTTGAATCGCTCTCACATGAAGGGTTTATCGAGCAGCGGCAACAAGGATTTACGCCCCAACTAGTAATCATGGAGATCATTTCTTCGGATGAACAACTTATCAGATCAGAAATGCTGCAGGCTAATCTTATGAAACCAGCTTTACTTCCGCCTAACGTCCATGTGCATGTGGCCAATCTATGCCATAAAAAGGTCACTTAATGCATCATTCAGTGTTCTCTCGTCCACAAACAAACTTTTCTATCTGAAGCTACGAATTGAACTCGTGTGGTTTTCTTTAGCATCTATGCCCGGCAAACATTCAGCTGCACGATAGCGAAGTTTCCTCTTCATCGGATCGCACTCGAGTTTGCTGTGTACATAGAAACTTAGAGTGGATGAATCATACATAGAAGCAATACAATGAGTACGCCAGAAACAGACAGACTGCGAATAATGTCCGGGACTGTAACGATCCTAGACAGTTTAACGCTTCGGCATGACGAGTTCACGGGACATTACTGCTCATTCAAGATGATGCACATTCCCTTGAGTCATGATGCTGCACATGGGGGACGAAGCTCTCGGCTAAGAAATCAAGCATCATGTCTTACGGCTGCTGCATCCCCGAAGGATCTATCACCATAAACAATGAACGCGTCCCTATACAGTTGTCCACACGAGATTTTGAAATTAGATACTCGCCTACCTTCAGTTTCACGAACAGGCCCAACCCCAAGTAGCACGTGCCAGACAGTCTATGTTCAATATATCAAACGAAATACACACAACTCTTGCTACAGTTGAGCTTTGCAAGCTACTCACTCGCCCCATCCTCGAATACTGCAGCATAATATATGGCAATATGAGAAACAGTGACAGAATTGCTGTGGCGAACCTGCAGAGATCATTTACTAAACAACTGCTTGATAAACACTCTGCAACGAGTTATCGAGAACGTGGCAATGAAGTTCATCTCGAACCACTTTGGATTCGGAGATTGAAGCACAACATATTGCAGCTTTTCAGCTTGCTACACAAAAAGACCTATTCCGACCTGTCTACACACAATTTACAACATTGTTGAACTCAAGCGCTTCGCAACAAAAGTTTTACACCGAATATACCCAAGGTTAAAACGAACGTCCACTAATTTTTTCCTGGTCAGTTATAGCTACCGTGGAATAAACCACCAATAACACTCAGTTCATGTGTCAAGGTGGCAAGGGTTAGAAGCAGACTCGCCAATTACCTTGACTTAACTACCCTATGCTGTGTATTCACATGGTAAAAATCCCTCGATGAGCTGCTTCAGACGGGCACAACAACATCTAAACACCAATGTTTTCAAAACTAGGCTTTGGCCTAAATCATCCGCCAGAATATTATTACATGAAACGCGCATCCCAATACTCCACCTATGCATATCACCCATGCGAGAGCTTGGATTCTTTTGTACAAATTGACCTGTATTGCTGTCGACAGTTTTCCTCATCAGTAGAAATATACGTATTATTATTATTGTTATTATTATTATTATAAGTATTTTACGGTACTTGTTTGGTGAATGCAGGCCATCGCACCGCAAGTTCCACAGATGCATCTGGTACAGTTCTCGTCAAACATGGCAGACAACGAGATGAAAATGTGGTGGCGCTTTAGTCCATTAAGCGCTAATTGTTATGCCAGACCTTGTTGACGGTGCTGTTGCCTTGCTAAGGTGTTAACGTGGGCTCACTGGCTTAAAGATAAGGTATACGAATCTGGAAAGCCTTAGCACTCCCCATTAACTGCTTGTTTCGATACAGTTGCGTTTCTAATAGCGCTTGTGCTTGCGAAGCACTATCGTTTACAGCAAAATGGGACTCACCATGGGTGCCATCAAATAGACTTTGTGTGTGCCTGACCAGGGGTCTAAGTTTTCCTACCGGTGCACCACACCTTATTGTCTACTTTTGGGCAGAAATTGATAGGTCACTATTAACAATAAAGCATATGGAGATACCAAGTGGTATTTGGTGTATCAGCTGTGTGGTTGGATTGCGACTCGCATTCTCTAGCCAGACCTCGGTCCTCTTTGAAGTAAACCTCGATCATTACGATCACAAGGACCGTAACCGAATTGGTGGTTCGGTGCTGCTCCTCCCAACCCTGACACCCCATACCCGGGTTCATCCCCGTTTGGACTCATCAGATGGAGATAGTCTGAACTTGGGTGGACCTCGAGGCCTAGTATTCATAGGTTGCTGGCTCTAAGATCCGTGAGCAATGCTTGTCACAGCGGAAACGAAAGCCACGTGGCATTTGGTGAACCCACTGTGTGGATGGATTGCGATTCGCAGTCTCTATTCAGACCTCAGTCCTCTTTGAAATAGATATCGACCATTACAATCACAAGGACCGCATCCGAATTGGTGGTTCGGTGTGGCACCCCCGCCAAATATATGGATATAACTGTCAACCCATGGTCCAGAACATATCCTAGCCCAAAGGCAACACTTGTGCTGAAACCAACTGCTTGTTGCGGAAAGAACGTAAGTGGTATAGATTCCTGTGCCATTGATGTGCGAGAAATGACTATTTTTCAATGCACTTTAACTTAGGGTCAAATGCGTTTACTCTTGACTAATAGCTGCACAGTGTCCAACTGAAAGAATTATTCGGCGATAATCTTCGTAGCCACGCACACTAACCACGCGTTTACTGCAGTCAGACAGTCAGACAGTTAGTACACAAACGGTAAGGTGCTGGATAGCTGTTTCTTACGGTCGGAAGTTAGCGGTGTCACACATTTATCAAAATCATCTAGATTTGATCTAATAGAGTTACTTTTAAGAGCTAGTGGCATGAAACATTTATCCACTAGTGGCGCAAGTGGACTGTGCTCGTTTATCCTAATTTGATACAACAGGACGTTTCAGTTATACCGGTGACTTAAGGACAATGAAGTAACAACCAGTAGGTGTGAACTATTCCCATGCCTGCGCGATGCTCTTGGTGACTAAACTTTTTTCTGTTAAAGACCGCAATTGGAACCATATTCACGTTCTCACACTCATCATCGGACAGTCGAGAACAGAGCCATATGTCCTTGTTTCAGTCGTAGCCTGCATTCCCCTCAACTTAAATGTATGTGCTCGTCTTCCGGGACCCTGTATTTCGGTGCTGATCTATTCGAGTAGGATATGGGATATGTTCCTAAACCTGCCTACAAACTTTAACACTCAACAAACTATGCTTCGTGTTCGAAAAAAGACAACTCAGTGTTTGGTAATAAATTTTTTGCGAGTTACCTCTTGGATTCAATTTCTGTTAACATTGTAAAAGTGAATAGACCTGTTCTTTGTTCTGGAACAGTCATCTGACATAACTTTTCCGGCGCGACTGGACAGTCTTGTGACTAATTAAAGAGCAATATATATGCGTGACGATTATACCTTTGTTTGCATTGATGTTTTGCGCTTCGGTATGAGAGGATTGCAGTTGCTACCAGGTAACACGTCACACAGCCAGTACGCTTCTCGCGGTAGCTCTAAAAGGTGCGATCCCATCCCACCTATAAGTTCCTAAGTTAGATGTCCCCACTTGGTT